TTCATACCACATCTTGTTTATGTTCCTTTAATGACTAAAATATTCCTCTAACATGCAATGAGGAGTATCTTTCAGAGAAATCCTAACAGAGGCATTGCATTATTCATCGTCAAGTGAAGAGGAAAATTTCAATTGCCAGTTTCTGGTAAACGTCTAATTAAGAAAGAGGGTTTCTGAGCCACAGACAGGCGCCACAATCATTAAAGGGCAGTTTTCTGAAGATTATGAGTCTCCAGTCTGTCAAGCAGAGTTTTTCTACAGCTGAACTAATTCAGCAGTAGAAAAAACCCTGTCTAGAACAAAGCCCGTGGAATTAACATCTTGTTTAAGCAAACACATGCCTACTTTGAAGTAAGTGTGATAGGCTCACAACTGTTATTGAGGTCAAGTTTAATGGTAGTGAAGTGACAGAATATAACTTCAGTGCTATTCTTAATTTCAGCTGCAGCACAGACAGTGAACACACAGAGTATCTGAAGCCTCACAGTGTATTTCAAGCAGACCAGTTTACTATAATTGGCTCAACCAGTTTGGCCTTAACATGGAAAACTACTGAAAGGTAGACCAACTAATTCTCTGGCTGCCCAATTAAACTTGAGGGCATGAAAAGCATATGTACAGAGGCAATTATTTTTGTTTCTTACAGTTTTGATTAGAGAATTTTTTGACCTTACTGTTTATTTTGGCAAGCTTCATTCTGGCCCTGATTTAGGGTAACATCATTGCTCAGCACGTTTAAGTCTAGCTAGACTGTTTCCTTGAATCCGGCTTTTATAGTGACTGATTACTTTAGTCTAATTTTTGCATGTCTGAACACGTGAATGGAATTCTAATGGCGAAGGGAACCATATCAGTGATCAGCTCAGTGCACCTGGTTTGCGTGCGGGTTCTGCGGAAGGAATAGTCTCCTCGCAAGTGATGCTGCTGGAAGTTGCCAATGAAATACAGTGTCGCTTAGTTCCTCATCACTACTGTCGTCTCATTAGCACAGCAATTTGTATGCTGACCTTGGTGCTTCTGTAACCTTGGCTGCATTGTCTCTTACTCTAGTTTAAAAGACAAATCCAGCTTGCCCACTATTGTTTTTCCCAATGCTGTCATTTTTATTTGTATCAGAGACATGCCGAGCCAAGAGCATGTGAACGGGGCTTTCAAGTTACCACGATACTAAAAGGTCATTACATCAACTGTTTATTTATATGTGAACTTTAGTATTTGTGAAAGGTGCCAGCTCAACAATCATGGAGGCAGAAATCTTCTGACCTCGGATCTTCTGAAGCAAGGGCAGCGGCTACGTGAGCTCATTTCCTGCCAGCGCTTCTATCCTTATTCTGGAGGGACAGCCTGGAGGAAAGGGGTTAGTCTCCATACTCGCTTATCGCATGATTTCTCAGCTGGAAGTGCCAGTTTTGATGGGTTGTTTTAATGATATCTTCCCACCATGAGAACTGGATGGACTCCATCATCTCAAATCCCAGGGAACAGCTTTAAGCATTGCCCATCCAGTTTTGTCACCTGTGATTAAAAATTCTATGTTCTTATCCTTGGAAATATTAAGTGTCTATTTCGGAGATTATTTCACTGTGTACTTACTTCCCCAGCTGTCTGTAAACATGTGCTCAGAGTGAAATAGGTACTCAGAAAGTTTCTTAAAGTGAGGACTTAGTTTTTTTTTTTTCTTCACCAGTTCTACAAACTCAAAAGCTCTGCTGTCTCAGCTGACTCATTCTTCAAGTTTCCTTCAATGCAGATTACTTTTTGGTCCCTCAGGAATTTTCCTACAAAGGGAAAAGCCCTTATTTCTGTTATTGTCTGCATGGGAGCTGATGATATTAGAAAAGCAAACCAGAAACCTGGTCTAAAACACTCTCCCAATTTTCTGGTTTCCTTCCCCCTTCTCCTTCCATTTTCACAACCTTAAACATCATCTTAAGAAAATTTCCACTTAACTAGAAACCCAAAATCTAATAGCATACAGCTACTACATTTGCTGCATGCAACTGGGAAGTAAACCCTGAGGATACACCTAAGATACCACGTGCGTCGCGCTGCTGCCACAAGCACGCTTATCGCCAGTGACACTGTTCCTTGCATCAAGATTTCAAGCTGCCACAGCTCCCTTTGTATCTGTAGTACAAGGCATTGATATGCACAGCTACAATAGACTTTAATGACGAGGTGTCTTAATTTGGTTTTTATTATGTGATTAAAGGTACAATAAGGTATGTGTTCAACAAGAGGGAAGACCATTGTTCTGCATCATTAAGCTCACAGCAGCCCAAAAAGAAATTGTAGGCAATGTGCCAAAGCCCTTAATGAAGAGGATCTCTTTGAATTATCTATGGATGAGGAAGGGATAAAGCCTGAGTCCTGGTATATTTGATCCTCTTTGTGCTCTCTGTTATGAGGACTTACGGAGCCAGACGTACCGGACCTTCTGGAATTGTAATTTATTGAAGCATTAATTTCCCAGCCACACTAAAGCTCTTGGCCTAATAGAGAAAGTGCAGTTATGTACTATTATTAATTCTGCAAGTGTTTTCTGAATTCCTACATCTCAGAGTCATGAACTTTTAAAAAATCAGGCTAAATAAGGGGATTTATTTGTAACAATGCTCAATATTTCCTAAAACAAATTATGCAAATTTTGTCTAACTCAAGACTACTAAAAAAAAAAATCATCTTTTAGTTTTCTCAGAAGTGGCAATGTTGTCATTTCACATGATACTAGGGTGACATGGGTGATAAAAGTAAAACCCCTGTAAGAGGTATTTGGTACTGCTAGCATATTTTGAAACTTTTGTCTTTTATATCCTGTTGTTTTAAATTAAAATGATTCTTCATCTCCCTCACTGTTAAATTTTAACTGATTGCTCTTCTGTGTAGGTTATATGAGGATGCATTTTTATAGTTACAGTGACATGTAATTATCCCCATGTACTCCCTGTGCTACAGAATTCCCTCCCACCTATCTTGTAAAACAGAGAAATCAAAGTGGTGCCCTATTAAAATAATTTTGCATGATAATTTATATTCTGGAGTAATCAGGGATTATAGTCTTAAATAATTCAGGTTTTACTAGAAATCACAGTTTTACAGGATTACAGGCACCTCTCACTTCAGTAGAAGCTGAGGGTATTCCAACCCTATTTCCCAAAGGACTTCCATGCTCTGAGTTAATCGTGGGTGCTGTGCACTGTGCTCCACACGCTGCTGAAGCAAGGCTGCAGTACTCTGCAGGTTGACTTCTAAATCCAAACTACTCCCAGGAATCTGCACCTGCAGCCAGCAATGGATAGTTTAGTCATCTTGGATATCAAGGCGACTGCTCCTGTGCATGATTTTAAGGACATGTTGTATTTGAAGAATGTTGTCCTGCATCTGTTAGGAGATGTCAGTAACTTGTAAAGGCTCTCTGCTGCCTTCGTTTCACCCCAAAAATCGTGCAAGCTTCCTAAACAATCGAAATATTCATAATTTGTTCTGCTGCCTTGGTTTGTTCTGAATGTGATTCACGGACAGTCCTCAAACCCAGGCTGCAAGAAAACTTGGCAACCTGGGGGGATAAGTAACTGCCATTGCAGCCACTGCTTGATCTGAACAGAGGAGTCCACAAACAATACCTGGCACCAGCTCTGCTGCTGCAGGCAGCATCTGAAACTAGTTCTCAGCACAGAATAGCGCCCGAGAAATCTGATTACCTTTCTCTCAAATTCTTCCCACCACTGCATGCATAGCGGCTTAGCAAGGGAAAGTGAGTTAGTATAAATAGAAGTGACACTAAGCATGTCTTCCTATTTGCTCTCACAAGTTTTTTTTCTTCCATAAAGCGTCAGTATCCTTTGGGTGAGGGAGCGAGAATTAGATCAAACTATGTGTTTAAAATTTAATCACTTCCCTACTCACATAACACACAAACCACATATTTTATGCACTTTGTTGTCCATGACATCAGTATCTGTGATGAGATATGGGAGGTAAGGCAGTGAGGACCGCTGAGCAATTCCCGAGCCTGGCAGCGCAGGGACACGTCACCCGGCCTGATGTCCCTCTGACGGGGGTGACTGTCACTTATTCTGAGCCGCCTCAGGAGTGACAAGGTGGTCAAGCACAGCCTGAAGGTCTGGGTAGCTTCTCATTATCTGGAGTGTTTGTACAGACAGCCCACCTCAGGTTTTCAGAGGTTAACCGTAAGCTTTCCGCCTATGATTGATTATTTCAGAAGAGATCAGCAGGAGTACGTCCCTAACACCTGGCCACGGCTTTGCATGGGTCCATCATGCTGTTTTGCTCCAAATCATACTTCAGATGTGACAAGAGAGAGAAATTGCAGAGAGGGAGATAATACAGACAGAAGGAAAAACAGAAACATAGGAAACAAGATCTTTGTAATAGACTTGTGTGTCACCACATTGTTAGAAAACCCATCACATACCTAATATGAACAATTTGGCATATAAAACCTGTAGAGCCGTCGTGTTGCTCTGTCCACTGTATTTGTAAGCTGGTATTTCTACACAGAGAGGTGCAAAAACTACAAACTGATATAAACTTCTATTAGCAGGAACAGGCACTGAGAGACCGAACTGAGCGCTGAATGAAGGCACTGCTCAGAGAGAAGTGTCTGTAGGTACTTGTAAACAGACAGAAACCCTTCCCTGCACCTCTTCCCAAACTTACTGAAAGCGCGCGCGACCAAGCTATGCCCCTTGTCAAGAAATTTTGCCTAATACATATTGAAGTCCTATTCTGTGCCATCAAGTTTTCTAAAAAGTTTGACATGTAATAGTGTGCATTTAAACATTTGATGTTCTGCAAGTGTGAATGGGAAGGTACCTCATAAAACCACAGCCACTGTCATACACGTATCAAACAAGGCAAACCCCCTTCCATGTCCACTTGCATAAGCAGGTTCTGCTCTTCCGTTTTCCCTGTCCTTAACAGCTGTTACAAGCCTAAAAGAGAACGTTTGCTTTTAGAAATGAAATCTAATTCTTTACCTGACAAACTTCATACAGTAACTTGTACTGCTCTTCTTGCTTCTGCAGAGTGCACAGACTGCATCCCATGTTTAAATAAATGCCAGAAATAATCTTCCCTATTCACCAGAGCAGCCACAGAAATCTGTCAGCAAGCATGCGGGCAGGTACCCTCCAAACCCCGAGGTGGGTCGGCCGGACCGAACAGCTGACGGTGGTATCGCACAGGGTGCTGCGGAGCAACTGAGCTGGTTTGTCGTGCTCTGCCTCCTTCCCTGGCAGCAGACAGCACTCCCTCTGCCGATCCGCTGCCGCACGCCGCTCCAGTGCACACCCTATATACTGCTCCTCATGCATATTAATCAGCTCTCATTGACTATTCATAGCAGACAGTGATACAGAAGCTATAATTGCCAGCTATGACAGCTGAAATTTCTCTAATTAACAGGCAAGTGCTTCAGTAGCAGGCGTAATAAAAGACACTAACAATTTTGTAAACCATTTTGTAGCAATTACAAATAAACACGGCTACGTTTTACTGTGATCCCTCAGGATAATTCTTAACATATTTAAGCAGGCTCAAACTGCAGTCTAAATGTAAGTCACAATGAAATGAATGCACAGTACAAAACTCAGCAGTGGCTGTGATAAAGTTGAATATGCTTAGCAGCATTTATTTTCCTCTCATGCTGTGGTGGCATCTGAGAGCCTGGGTTTTATCGCAGGAGATGGCTGCACCAGGCATTTGCCAAACAACACTGAAAGGCCATCTCTACCCCTGAAAGTCCACGTGCAGCCTTAGGGCTTGGCTACAAAGCAGAGGAGAGATATGGGAATGTATGTGAATTAAAGAGTGCCTTGGATTAGTATCTATAGATGAGCTGTAGATTAACATTTATACCAACTGAAAAATGGCCATCTATGCTACTGACCCTCTTGTATTTGCAGAGGGCAAATGGGTGATTCACATATCATTGTGTTAAAGATAAAACGTTGCCAGATTATAAAAAGATCTACAATAAACTAAGCATGGCATTTACGACTGTTCAGTACTGGAGGGCCGCGCTGAACCTGTGCCACAATGTAAAGGATAAAGTATCAGCGAACTGCCCAACGAACGAGAAAAGTGCTCCTAAGTCATGAGCTTTATGGGTGTTTTCCAGCCTGTAGGAAACCCCACCTTGCGTTACATGGTTGGACTGACCATACTCTTTTCAACAGTTTAAGCACTGGCAAAGTGTCCGCTTTTATAATCCTTATTTCCATGCGTTCTGCTATAAAGAACAGAAGGTGACAAAGTAGCTGGGAATGAGACCAAGAGTATGATTCCCATACAGGCGCTGTGTGTCAGAGGGCTGGGATCTTGTGCTGTGGTTATCTAACTGGTTTCTGACTATTTGCTTAGCAAGTTTCTGTGGATGACAATGGAAATGTTGTGCAAGGATCACCTGCAGCTTTTATGGCCAAACTCCGTCCGTAGGTATCCTGTTGGATACCCACACATTGCTATAGTTGTACCGACTCACAAACTACAGTGATCGGCTACTGAAATGCTGTGCCTGTTTCAGTACTAAACTGTACTAAATAGATGCTGTGACAAGAAGAGGTCCCTGAATTCTGCGATGTGTTTTGGTAGCAACATCTACCTAACTACAGAAAGAAAGAAAGGAGATCTCTCAAATCCCTGCCAAACACCTGAAAGCAGGTAGGGACTCCATCCCTGTGCTGTGGCGGTGATGCTTCCCTGAGGGAGGAGATAACCGCCACGCTGGTGGTGGAACTTGCAAGGCTGGAGTAAGAGAGAGGTAGCCTGGCTCTTACGGCTGGCCCTTGGAGCTGAAGCCTGATCCAGGCTGTCCCTGGTGAGCCAGGCTTCTGTTCAGCCACACACTACGGGCCTTTCCAGAGTCGGTTACCAGTCAGCGGCTGTCGATCTCGAACAACTGGAAAGTGCTCGCATGAAGCGACTAGTGTTCCCTAAAAGCAGAAAAGATGATAAGTGAATTAAGTTTAAAAAAAGACACTAGTCAAATCTTTAAAAAGTTTATGGTTTTGATTAGATGATTTTTTTTTATGTAATTTGATTAAGCAACTTCAGGTAGAATTTGCAAAAATATTTCTTCGATTCCCCTTCCCCCCATGCATTTAATTTTCTTTCTGAATACTAGTTGCTATTTAAATGCTGTAGCTCAGTTCAGGTGGCTGGGTTCAGTCAGGATTCCTTTTAGAAATAACATGCAGCTGGATCTGATGAGAAATAAACCAGAAACATGCAGGGTATTTCCTTTCCTGTTGCAACGGAAATGCACCTATTTATTATCTTCCCATAGTAACATGATGGACTACATGAGATAATGTTTCATCGGAGTCACAAAGACAATCCGTAAACTGGACCAGGAGAGTCAGTCCAGCAGAAGACTGCTGTTTTGAGGCAAGACTGGAGTGATCCCATAAACGTGATGTTTCAGATTCTTTGGCTAACCCAGCCTAAGTGCGTTGCTCAGCAGCAAACAGCGTGGCTTAGCGGTGCAGTTGGCTTTGTTGCACTGTTGCTCTGGTAAATAAGCCAGCCTGACAGTCAGGCCAGCGCTTATCTCAACGGAGATGTTTTCCATTATTGAGATCTAATTCATATTTCTCTATTCATCTCATAGGCAGAAATGGCAGCGCTGCCTGAGGTTAACATAGACTAGTTTTTACGGTACTTTGCCAAACTTCAAACATTTGGGCTGCAAACTTGTGTTCTGGGCGTTGTCCAAGGCTGTATACTTCAGCTGAAACGTTGCAGTCATTTCCAAGAGTAAGATTACAGAAGAAAATATGTTGTTTGCCCATGTTAAGAGATTCTGGCTATGTTTTCTTTGAGAAGGTTTCAGTATCGACATAATTTGAAACAGAATTGAGAAGTTTGGTAGAGCGATGGTTTGTGCTGTCCCTGTGAAATCTGATGAATTTGGTCAGTGTTTAGCTCTTGCAGCTTGCAAATTCTGAGTAAAAAGTTGCACCAAGTTTTCAGTTTGTTATGAGACTTCTTCCACAATAAACGCGCTCGGTGGGTGATGCCAAGAAGGTCTGATGAGGCCAGTTCCCTTTCCCAATTGCTGTTTGTGAGGTTGGGAGACTGACATCAAGAACAAAGGGTTCTTCTCACTGCGGGACCCATGGAGCCAGAAAGAGCCCCCTGAGCTGGCCGGGGTGGGGTGGATGGTCACTGCGTTGTTCCACTTGTTGTACAACATAGGTCCGAAGGCAATCCCAGTGCGATACAGGAACCCTTGTCAATGTGTGCCATGTGTGGTGGACGTAACTGGCTTCCTTTGGTTTGTCCGGATAAGGCAGCTCGTTATGGGATCTGTCATCTGTGTTAACAATGTGTCATGTGTGGTCTCGCCAGTGTGCCGCAGATAATGAGCTTAACAAAATGTACGCGTAGTGGATGGCTTATATCACGTGTAATGTGAATATTATAGTGGTCCCAGCTGAATCTGAGCAATCCAGACTGAATGGGAAGTTAGCGAGCCAGCTGACTAGGAACAATAGTAAAAAGCCTTTGAATACACAAGGTGCCAGCAAGAGCTTTCATTAGCATTTATCTAGATTACTCACTCCCTGACTTATTACATGTGACCAAGTCTGCAAAATCCCTTTTACCAAGATACCTGGCTCTGACTCTCCGACATTTGCTTTTGTGTCCAAAAGCTAATTCCCAAGGAGCAGAAGGTGGAAAGCAGCCAGACTGCTTGGGCCACCACGAGGGGCAGGGTGCTGCTCTCATCCCTGGGAAGCTGGATGTCTTGGACAGACAGCGGGTGACAACGGCGAGGAGGGAATCCTGCCACAGACCACAGGCTGGTTTTGCTTTTTGTGTCTGTCTTAGTTGCAAACTGAAATCTCCCAGCTTGTAACGGCAAACCCAGTATAAATTTTGCTACTTAAATGTTTGATTTCCTTTACAATTAAGCCCATGAAGTGTTGGCAGGTAAGGGGAATCTGCTGGAGAGCGATGCACTGGAGGTGTCCTGCCTGTCTGCACGGGATGGTGAATCAGAACAAAGAGGGAAATAAAGCACTCACGAGGGACCTGCACCCTACAGGGGAACATTATGAGGGAACTCAAAGGCTAAAAAGCACTCTCTGCCAGCTTTTCAAGGGTAAGGACTTCGGCTGCCAAGTGTTGGCTCTTAGACAGCAGTTCCCACCAGCAAGAATAAACTCATGTCCTTTGTGCGAGGAGCAGATGGCACATAGCTACTTCACAGATCTGGGCAAACACCAAAGCGTTGCACTCAGTGCTGGGAGTTCCTAATGTTTGAGTGGCTGACTGCAATATTAGTAACGGTTTGGCATTGTTTATTTTGTTTCTTTAAATGCAAGTTGGCTTCCCTAGTATGTAGTAACTACTGAACATTATATTTTTGTACATATACTCAGCTAGTTCTGTTTAAACAAATGATTCCTATTTAAGCTGTGTGATTGGGGAAATGTTTGCTTAATGTATCAATACTTTGATTACTCTTCTTGTTTTTACAAATATTTAAGACTTCTGAGAAACAAAGGCTAGGAAAGAGAACAGCTGTGACTTTATACACAATTCTCGCATTGGTGTGTTATATAAACACAAGTCAGGAAACTGTACAGATTGTGATGACATAGCGTGGTGCGAAAGAACACTGCTTGTGCTACGCAACAGCTAAAGTATCTGGAATTTTTCAAAGTGTGTTAGGGTGCTTTTCCATTACAGCCACTGGGTTGCCTCCACTAAAGCTCGAGTGCCTCGTGGGTGAGAATGTGCGTGTTCAGATTGAGTGTTCCTGGTGTTTATTTGCAAATTTTCAGTACTACAGTCCACCGATAGCTATGAAGTGTTGGCTTCTTAATAATACATTTAATTAGTGTGGATCTAATTTAGAAACACCTTTCTAAAACGTCCTTTGTCAAATACGTGAAAGCAAAGCCGGATTTTCCATGGCATTGTGAGGGCACAACAATTAAATACATACTCTAAACATAACAGCAAAAAGATCTCAATTCTGCATTTTTTTTGCATATGGGCATAGCAGTCTGCCTATACATTGGAAGCTTCAAGACTG